TCTTTAAATCTTAACCATTCATTCTCCCTTTTCCATTTAATCCTAACCCTTCATTCATTTCCCAATCCCAATCTCACCCCCTATTTTCCATTATCCAAACACATCCTAACGCTCTGCAAATAAAAAGAGGAAGCTGGCAAGTAGCTCGGCCAAAGCAGAAGCAGACCGGCCCAACAAAAAAACAAACATAGCCCAGCAGCCAGCCCACGGAGCAGAGGAGTAGCAACCCAGCACAGTACTGCGCGACATGTAGCAACCGAGCATTGTAGCACGAATAATACCACCTCACTTATCTAGCTTGGGCAGCACTAGATTAAATAGGAGGTTTGCCAGAGGCTACTAACACTGATAAAGTTTGGAACCATGCTGTCGAGCGAGCGATTGCTCGGACAACGGGCCTAGATCAGTGCATCAAAGCAAGATGTTTTTGTTGTTTTCCCTAGATCAGCTAGATCAGTGCATCAAAGCAATATCAGATCCCTAGATCAGTGCATCAAAGCAAGATCGGATCTGCTTGCACGGCGTGTACGGCGTAGAAAGATAACAAAGTAGATCAGTGCATCAAAGCAAGATCGGATCTGCTTGCACGCCTATGTTTTTGTTGTCTTCCCAAGGTCAGTGCACGGCGTAGAAATAAAGAGATCAAAATATCAAAGCAAGATTGGATCTGCGGGACCCTACTCCTGTGTTTTGTTGTCTTCCCTAAATCAGGTTTTGTTGTCTTCCCTTGTGTTTTGTTGTCTTCCCTAAATCAGGTTTTGTTGTCTTCCCTAGATCAGTGCACAGCGTAGAAAGAGATCAAAGCAAGATTCTGTGTTTCGTTGTCTTCCCTAGAACAGTGCATGGCGTAGAAAGAGATCAAAGCAAGATCGGATCTGCGGGACCCTACTCCTATGTTTTGTTGTCTTCCCAAGATCAGTGCATGGCGTAGATCAGTGCACGACGTAGAAAGAGAAGATCAGTGCACGGCGTAGAAAGGGATCAAAGCAAGATCCTGTGTTTTGTTGTCTTCCCTAGATCAGTGCACGGCGTAGAAAGAGATCAAAGCAAGATCGGATCTGCAAGACCCTACTCCTGTGTTTTGTTGTCTTCCCTAGATCAGTACACGACGTAGAAAGAGAAGATCATTGCACGGCGTAGAAAGAGATCAAAGCAAGATCCAGTGTTTTGTTGTCTTCCCTAGATCAGTGCACGGCTTAGAAATGTGTTAGTGTTTTGTTGTCTTCCCTACATCAGTGCACGGCGTAGAAATGTGTTTTGTTGTCTTCCCTAGATCAGTGTACTCCTGTGTTTTGTTGTATTCCCTAGATCAGTGCACGGCGGGACCCTACTCCTGTGTTTTGTTGTCTTCCCTAGATTAGTGCATGACGTAGAAAGAGATCAAAGCAAGATCGGATCTGCGGGACCCGAGCTCCGACTAGGGAGACACAGGAATTATGCAGGTTCAGCCAAAGGTGTAATACCCTACTCCTGTGTTTTATGTTGGTGTAGTTGTCTTCCCTAGATCAGTTGAATACAATACAGGTTCAGCCAGAGGTATAATATTGTACTCCTGTGTGTTTTGTATTGGTTTAGTTGTCTTCCCTAGATAAGGAATTATATAGGTTCAGCCGGAGGTGTAATGCCTAGTCCTGTGTTTTGCGTTGGTGTAGTTTTCTTCCCTAGATCAGCTAAATACAATACAGGTTCATCCAAAGATGCAATATCCTACTCCTGTGTTTTGTAATGGTTTAGTTGTCTTCCCTAGATCGGGAATTATATAGGTTTAGCTAGAGGTGTAATACCCTACTTGTGTGTTTCGTGTTGGTGTAGTTGTCTTCTCTAGATCAGCTGAATACAATACAGGTTCAGCCAGAGGTGTAATACCCTACTCCATCCGGCTGCTTTATTTAACATGACTGGGTGTCGTCGCGCGCCATCATCGGCTTTGTCTATCACCCGCCAGCATGCCACGCGGAGGGCGGGTCCACCATGATTCATGGGTATTCAGTTGAATACCCAAAATTTTTGACAAAAAAAAATTCATATATGTAATATATATTTCATATGTATATGAAAAAAAATATGTAAAATAGACTTGTTTCTTCAGAGAAGCCCGACTTAGCACCATCCCATCCCACCTCCGTCCTCTCCTCGGCTGGTCGGCCCATTGGCCCAATAGCCCATATCAGCAAAAGGGAATAATGAAACCCTAACCTCTCCTTCCCATTCGATCTTCTCCCTGGCGGCCTCCCGACCCTGATTCCCGACTCCCGACGGCGCACGGGCACAGCGACAGCGGACTAGCGGAGGCGCGTCGGGGTCGCAGCATCGCCTCCCAACCCCGATGGCGGCGGCGCCCAGCTGGCTGCCAAGCTGCTGCAGCTCCACGGCTACCCAGTGGCCACGCCCGCGCCCCCGGGCTGCCGCCTGCCGCGAAGGGCGCCATCCGCCCATCCCCTATGGCGCCCACGCGCCGCCGCCCCTGTGGGCTGTGGCGCCCAAGTGCCCACGCAGCCGCGCTCCGTGCTCCGGCCTCCTCTGTCCTCTCCACCACTCCACCGCGCCAAACGCCCAGACGGCTGGACCCAGATGAAGGTAAAACTGGTTAGGAACATTTTGGTAATTAGGTTCGAATAGGATTTAGGAGTTTCGGATTTATAGTTCCTAGTTGAATCCAGGATGGTTCATTTTATTTAGGATTTGAATCCAGCCATACAGGGATGGTTCATGGTTTATGGATGAACAATTGAACTTTGAAACTTGTGATTCACTGATTTGTGAGGCTTTGTAGCAGAGTTAGTGCACATATTTAGCAGAGTTAGCATGGTTAATACTTAAATTAGAAGACCGTAGTGTTGTTTTGTAGGTTTGAAACATGAAGAGGAAAGTGAAGGATAAAGACATCGTCACTTATTTTCAAAATATCAAGAAACGAAAAGTCTCTCTAAATTGTAAGATTTCTTATCATTTTTCCATTTTCTATGCTTTATAAATTTGACATGTTTTGTCAATTAATACTTTAGTACTGTACTTTAAAATATGCTTAACATATTTAATTTATGGTCAATTCTATGAATCTATGACTTTACAACTCGTTCGCTCACTACGAAGAAACATTTCATCTAGTTGACTTGAACCCCATTCAACTCAACTCGATTTCAGGTTTTGAATAAATCCCTGATGGACGGAAGGGAGCGGGAGTCAGCTCCCTTCCTATGAAAGACACGCATCATGCTTATACCATTATATATTATACAACTATTAGACTTTGTGTTGGAAAAAAATATCTCTTCCAATTTCGAATACCCAAGTTGAAAATCCTGGGCCCGCCCCACGCCTGACATCGCGAAGTGGCGAAGATGTGTGTGCAGACTCACCGAAGGAGATTCGTCCCTACGTTTTGCCGTTTGGTGATTCTCTGAGGTGACAACTGACAACAAGTGAGTGGCCCTCCTGTCACATCGGATGTATAGACACTAATTTAAAGTATTAAATATAAACTAGTAAAAAACTAATTTCATAAATGAGAGCTAATCCGCGAGACGAATTTTTTAAGCCTAATTAATCCATAATTAGCAAATGTTTACTGTAGCATCACATAGGCTAATCATGGATTAATTAGGCTACGAATTAGCTCAAGGTTATGGAATGTGTTTTGTAATTATCTATGTTTAATACTCTAAATTAGCGTCAAACATCCGATGTCACAGGGCCGTATCGAACGGAATAATGTACCGAGGAGCTAAGCAATTTCAGAAAACAAAAACATGTGCATGACAAAAAGGAAATAATAAATTTTAAGTGGCCTAGCAAAAGTGCCTGCGCGATGCAACAAGAACAGATTTATGATTGCAATCAAACTCCACATACTCCAATAAATTCAGGTTTCTGTAATTCTTTTAGGTGATGAAAATTCAGGTTTCTGTAATTCTTTTAGGTGATGGGCAGCGGCTTCAGTAATTAATCAAACTCTAGACAAAAAAGTAAACAAAATTCAAGCATAATCCTCACAGTTAAAACCAAACCGAGATCGAAGCTGTGGTTGTTTATAGGGACAATTTGAACCAAGCCACACAAATTTTGCAAAATTTGTGATATGCCACCCTAACCCCTTGTTTATAATTTATAATATATTGCAGTACTGGTCTATTCATTCCACTAGAGCGAATCAAAAGATATAAACAGTGCTGTAACTGAATGCAAGTTTATGTAAGGCAGACAACTTAGGGTTATAAGAAAAATAGCACTAAATTTCATAAAACCCCACCTAATATGATTCAAATCTCTACTATTATAAAAATCAAAGATATTTTTGCCGGTATTTTGGTACGTCATCCGTGTATGAGTCGGTTTTTAAATTCGTTTGCTTTTGGAAATACATATCCGTATTTGAGTCGGTTTTTAAGATCGTTCACTTTTGGCAAATACAGAAGAAATCATATAAGAAATCTGTTTTAAAAAACTCGCATACTAACTTGAGACGATCGAACTCCTAACTACAGCTCATGATTTTCTAAAAATATATATCCAAGCGAACTTCCACAGTGAATTTTATCTTTACTAAACCATATAACAATAATAAAATTAAAATAGACTTCACCCGTTGCAACGCACGGGCATTTTTTTTCTAGTTACATAAAACCATAGGAATTTTGACATGTGACACATAACTCAGGGAATTATGGTCCTAAAGTTTCATAAAACCATATCATTAACTATTTTGACATATTTCTATATCAAAATTTTATAAAATAGATGTAACATTAATACGATGGATAATTTGTCATAAATTTGAGATGTGATTGTACAACTCAAATATGTATTAGATCAAATTTAAAATGATTAATATTGTGGTTTGTGAAACTTTAGTATCATAATACCTAGGTTATGTGTCACAAGCCAAAATTTCTATGATTTTATGTAATTTGGACCATAGTATATGTGGTTTTCTAAAATTTACGATTATATATATGATCCCAGAGGGAAGAGGGAAGATGAAACAACAGAAATAAAGAATGAAGAGTAAATTTCACAAAACTACATGTTTTGTGGTCCAAGTTGCAGAAAATCACACGCACTTTGACACTTGGCACTTGAGTACATATATTTTGGTTGTGTAGTACTACACTATCGATGTATAGATTTACCCGCGAGATGATGTGGTTGTTTCACCTAGGACGAGGACATGGCATCCTATTACCAGCCATTGCACGAAATTAATATGATGCCACGTCCTCATACTAGATGAAACAACCACATCATATCACGGGTGAATCCATTCATCGATAGTGTGGTTTTGTGAAACTAAACTCCCAAAATATATGTACTTAAGTGGCAAGTGTCAAAATGTATGTGGTTTTCTACAACTTGAACCATAAAACATGTAGTTTTGTGAAATTTACTCAAGAATGAATGAGGATGGTTTTGGATGGGGAGCTGGTGTGCTTAGTAGGGCCAAGCAAGCTGGTGTGCTTAGTAGGGCCAAGCAAGGCAGCCCCCGATCTGAATAGGGGTGTGCGTACCCACTCATTAGTATTCCTTTTGCTCCCTCCGCCGCGGCACCGCCATGGTTGAGGTTTGCCCTATTGAACCTAGGGTGTGTTTAGTTCACGCTAAAATTGAAAGTGTGGCTGAAATTGAAATGATGTGACGGAAAAGTTGGAAGTTTGTGTGTGTAGGAAAGTTTTGATGTGATGGAAAAGTTGGAAGTTTGAAGAAATATTTCGGATCTAAACATGGCCCTACTTATTTTTTGGTGCACAACACAAAGTACACATAGAAAATAAATTTAATTTCATATGTTGTAACGCACGGACATCTTTGCTAGTAATAATCTTAACTAATTAAAAAATCTGCAACTTTCCAATCGTCACAAAATTTTTCGACTGTTAATCCGCACTAATTTTTCATCCATACGAGCTAATCGCTGCGCTAATTTTCCGTCCGTGGTGTTTTTTTTGGGGAATAAATTCACCGGAGGTCCCTCAACTTAACAGCGAGGTTTTTTGAGGTCCCTTAACCACAAAATTAGAAAATTTCACCCCTATACTATACAAAACCGTCTAATTTAGGTCCTAAGGCAGTATATATGTCTGGTTTTGGTTTTGCTGACGTGGTATCCTAGTTAGAAAAAAATAATAGAATAAATATGTGAGGGCCCACATGTCAGTACATGTCAGTGAGAGAAAATGATGTGGGCCCACATCTCTTTTTTTCTTTTCTTTTTCTCTTCTCTTCTCAACTTCTCACACGCGGGTAGACGTGGGTGTGCGGTGACGGCGGAGCGGGCGCGGCTTCCGGCGCAGTGGGGAGAGATACAGCAGTCGCCGCGGCAGCGGCTGAGAGCGGAGTCGGCTGTTGAATGAACAACACAGCTAGATTGATAGAATTGTTGACGCTTTTCGTAATTTCAAGCAATCGATAACTTGCGTGATGGCAAATCATAAGAACGCAACCATGGCAACCACATCGATGTATATCACAGCAATTCAATTCATGAAATACTTCAGAGCGTGGGATGATGCCCTTACGCGGATGAGGAGAGGGAAGTTGCCGCGGGCGAAGCGGCCGGCCCAGCAGTTGAGCACGGCGTCGACAGCGCCGGCCTCGGCGCGCGGGATCGCGAGCACGCGCGCGGCGGCCTCCAACACCTTCCAGTCCCGCTGCCACCGGCTCCCCTCCACGCGCAGGCGGTGGCGCGCGGGGAACGCCACGGCGCCCACGCCCTCCACCTCGGCGCGGGCCTCGCGCTGGCCCCGGTCGTAGTCCACGGACACGGCGGGGCGGCGCTCCGCCCACTCCGGCGGCGTGGCGCCCGCGGCGGTCGTGAGGGCGCACGGACCACGCGCGTCCGGGCAGTTGACGCCGTCGAGTCGGGCGTCGCCGCCGGTGAGCGCGGCAGCGGCGGAGCAGCGGAAGACATCGCGGCGGGTGGTGGAGGGGAGAGACTATAGAGGCTCCACCATTGGGGCAGCTCCGCCGCATCTCCGGATGGGGAGAGGCGGTCACGCCGGCCGACTCTCTCCCCTTCTCTGGCGCCGGCCGCCTCCACTCCCCCTCTCCCGCTTCTTCCCCGCGCGCCGCAGCGCCCGCTGCGCTCGCCGCCGCGCCCGCTCCGCCGTCGGCCGCACACCCGCATCTGCCCGCCTGCGCGTGAGAAGTTGAGAAGAGAAGAGAAAAATAAAGGAAAATGGAGAAGCGGGGCCCAAATTATTTTCTCTCACTGACATGTGGGCCCCGCATTTTTATTTTATTATTTTTGCTAACTATGATGCCACATCAGCGAAACCAGGCATATATACTATCATGGGACCTAAATTAGACCGTTTTGTATAGTTTAGGGGTGAAGATTTCTGATTTTATGGTTAAAGGACTTAAAAAAATCTTGCTGGTAACTTGAGTAATCTCCGGTGAACTTATTCCTTTTTTTTTAAATGCACCGGTTACACTTGCGAACCGGTCCACTTGCGAAACGGCTTGGATCGGGCCACACCGGCCCACACCCTGCGTCCCTACCTCGCACTCGCGCAGTCTCTCCAAACCCTTGCGCCCCTCATATAATGAGCCACCTCCCTTCCCGGCTACTCCGCGATGGCGATTCCCGTCGCCGTCGGCCACCGCTGCTGAATCCCCTCCCGTCCCCCTCACTCTCGCCGACGTGCGCTCGCGCCCGCCTCCTCTTCCTCTGAGTCCTCTCTCAGCATCGCCGCTAGAGAAGCCGGATTTGGCCATGCTGAGCCGGGATGGAGATCCAGGCCTGTGCTGACTTCAACGAGGATTGGAGGACCGAGCAGCACCAAGTCCACCGCTGTGAGCAGCAACAAGAAGGCCTGCGCCACGACTTCTTGCTCCTTGCCATATGCACAAGACATGCTCCGACGTAGCGGCGAAAGAGGTGGTAGTAGGGGAAGTGCGACAAGCCAACAAATCGGTATAGGAGGATGTGCTGGTAGCAGATGAATAGGAGGAAAAGGAGGAGGTGCTGGGCCAAGATCACATGGCCATTGACGATGACGAACCTGCGAAATCAACAACTCCGTATCAAGGCAAGACTCAATTATTTCAAATACTTCCAGTTTTTGCTATCTCGCTGATTTCATAGATGAATTTAAGGTTGATTCTTTATTTCTTTTCATAGATGGCTTAAGATGCAGGTCGCTGTCACAACGTCCGGTGTGCGAGACGGGTAACATGAGGTACACGTCTTCAGTGTAAAACTGAGACAAGTAAGAAACAAATATATTCATAATGCTATTCGACTCAAAAATAAACGAATGCCACTATATAAGCTAAATATGAGGATGCCAATTCTCCAGAGGTAATTTTTGGACCATAATCTTGCTGATACTAAGGGAAACAAAATGCATGAACTTTCAAAGTTTCATGCCAATGCCCAGGAGGTCATAAGTAGGCCATGTTGCAATGTATATCATGAAGACATGATCAAGGAAGATAATCAATATGTTTACACGGTAAACCAAACAAAGAAAATACTAGATCGCAGTTTCATCAGAAAAAACTGGACAAGAAAAGCAGTAGTTGATCAGCAGTTCAGCACTCTATTGGCATGTCCAGTTATCATCAGATAGTGCATTCTCCTGGATTAGCACTGGTCGGCTTACTTAGTACATGATACTTCTTTCTGTTCAATCAGCAAACCTACAATATAGACAAGTACATATAATAAGACTACAGGAACAAAGTAGTTGCCTACTGATGTGTAAAACCCTACAAAAGAAGACATAAACATCCTAGGATTAGCAAGGGAGTATCACAATTCAAAAGAAGAGTACCTACATGGCAAGTCAATAATCATTTCAGAAGGTGAAGAAAGTAATTTGGACTTATGGGACATCAGGAAGAGTACTGGCATCACTTTTCCCGCTTCATTTTTAGCTCATGGGAATGGACTCTAATACTCTGTTACTTTTCCATCCTTTGTGTAGAGCATAATTCATCTGCCACAAGTGTCAAAGTAATCATGCCATCTTATTTTTCCTAAGCATTTCACCCCAAATAGCTGCTATGCGGAGCAAATAATACAATCTGGACTAGTACCATGATAATGAAAGTGTAACAGTTTCTGGCAGCACCATTATGTTTTTTCACTAAGGATCACAATAACCATTGGCTTCCTACACAGCATAGGTACCTAATGCAGTTTGAATTAAAACACAACAAGAACAAATGATTTTACCACTAGCACTAGAGCATCACTTCTGTATGAGACATTTCATGTCTAATGTGTGGATTGGGAACCTATCTTTCTTTCTTGAAGTTGATGAATGCAGAGGAGAGTAATCATACCTTTTGTTACCCCTGAATGTCTTTTACTGGGAGTTCATATCGGCAAACTGGACAGGTATGTTGTGCCAAGAGCCACTTCAGTATGCATTGCATATGGAATACGTGTTGACAAGGGAGGCGTGCACATGACATCTATATTTTGTAGCAAGCGTGCTTTTGCAGATGGAGCATTCTGTGTCCTTCTCCTTGCAAACAAATATCAGGGGAAGGTTGAGTAGGAAACTCCTTGATGTTGGAAACGTCCCCATTGTCAGTAATGGCTGTCCAAGAGCAGCTAGCATTCGAACCATGGCTCTTTCCTCCTCATCAAACAAAGTGATGAGGCGGTTCGCTTTCTGATCATTGGCCAGTAAGATTTGACCCTCTATCATCAACTCCTCCTCCTCCTCTAGAGCGAGCCCAGTAATTGGCGCAATCATTGCTTCCCAAGAAGGACCTCCTATCACATACTCATCCTGAATGGTATGAAGCTCAATGTAGGACCCCTGACTGCTGGTTGTAGCTGTATCATCATTGTCACTTTCATTGGCATCGCCATCAATACACAAGGGACCCTTTCTTTGGGGTATCTCCAAATCAGGAAGTGGAGGTAATGTAGATAGTGGCTGGTCAGAGGCATATATATTTTGGCCATTGTTGACAGAAGTGGATGCCACCAAAATGCGTGAAGTGGATGGTCCTAACGGCAGTAACTCTAAAATGGTCTCATCATCGCTAAAAGTAGAGCCTTCATCGCTGCTCTCAAACTTGCCTGTGGAACGGAGGAAGGTAAAGCCTTTTCTGTGACATTCTTTGCCTGTCACCTGCAACCAAGCCAAAAATACTCAGTTTTTTTACCAATGCAAAAAACATAACTCCTTAAGCACTAGCTTCTTGATTAGTGCGAGATAAAGAACTACTAAAACCCTCCATCTCAATAAGCCAAGGCTGAAAAATAAACTACAATGAAAAAACCCCAATATCAACTCTAAAATTAAGTTTCAAACTTCAAATTTTGGCTGCGGTTGATAAGCCAACAAGCAGATGATGAGAGTCCAAATGTTCTAAAAACCCATGTTATAGCGATTTATCAGCAGATGCATACCCCAGAAAGTAGTAAGTATTTTTAGCTCCATGTTTTCAAATGCCAGATGTGGTTATTCATAATCATTATTTGCATGTACAAAGTGTTCTTTGAGATATGATGCAGCATTTGGGGGAAATAGAGATGAACCTTATCATGATCGTCTTTTTCATATTGTTCTTCAAAGAGAGACCTCTCAGAATCAGCATTGCTCACATTTCCATTCAACTCTTCGAAACTACCTTCTAACTCAATGACCTCACTCCAATCCGTGACCTGTTGGCCTGGAAAGGTGAACATCTCAGTAACAAACTTATGTATGCAACTTCAAACACAATTCTGGGACATCATTATGTATGCATCGTGACTTCCTTGCTTACCTTCTCCTGATGACAGCTCAGAGCACTTCTTACCATTTAATTCTACAGAAACCATCTGCTGGAACTTCCTGCACAAGACGAATATTGTTTACCTTTTGATAATCAACAAGAAGGTCTTATAAGAAAATTTTCACCTAGCAAAGCAAATGCAAATGGACATAAAAAAGCAAATAATCAGTGCTACTGACTGTTGAATTGTTTGGAAGCACCAAAACCAACTTGGTAGTATCCTTCCATATAGGTAGTCAACCTCCATACTAATGAGTGCTAACCATGCCAAAAAAGAAAAAAAAAGAAACATCTGAATTCTGAAAGTAGGTGTTATTACCACGAGTCCCCCAGTAACAAAAACCTGAAGCATTTTCATTCCCTTATGATCCTTAGTTCATGCATATCAGGAATTTCGAGATCGAGACAATACATCCATTGATACCCTTATCCAAGCCCTAAACTAAGGTTTTAATACAGACTAACATATATGTTTTTAGAGTATCAAGCTGGCTCCAAGCAAAGAAGCAAGAGATGCAGCATCTGTTGTAGCAAATCCAATGTGCAACTATACAACATGCGAAAATCCTCACAGATTCAACGGCAGGACAAACATTGCTTACCTTATCTTTGTGTTTAACTGATCCATCTGGCTGATGAACTCATCCCTGCAAGGAGCAAGTTGCATGTCTTAGCTGTTTGCAACCAAGTATTCACCAAAATGCATTCAATAGACCAGCAGCAGGGCAATCAACAAAACTCCCGTACTCACCTCTCAATGTCTCCCTTGCCCTTTTGGAGACATTATATCAAACACCAAGAGCGCAGCACCATTTCCCAATTGCAATGTTACAGAAACATAAGCAAATCAGCGCGTCACATTTAAACAAAAAAAAATCGAACAGCGAATATTACTGCAAACCGCAGATGAAACCCCAAAATTTACTGACCTTAAGCGCGTCCAGATCAGAGCGCACCTGCGATATTTCCTCCTGGAGGTGCGAGATCGTCGCCTAAACGCACCGAAACGAAATAAACCCAATCGAATCAGGCGAAACTGGCCGTAATCGAGGAGAGATGAGGAAGAGAGGTAGAGACCTCGAGCCCGTGGATGGACACCACGGCGATGGCGACCTGCACCTGGTTCCCGCCGAGCTCCTGCTCCGCGTCCTCCCGCGCGCGCTTCGCGGTCTCGAGCTCCGCCGCGGCCGCGTCGTAGGCAGAGCGCACGCCGTCGAGCCGCAGCTTCAGGACGGACATGCCGCGCTCTGCACGGAGGCCACGGATCAGCCTAGCCGATGACGCGAAACACTGGAGCAGCCTAGCTCAGCGGCGGCCCCGCGGCGAGGCAGGTCGGAACTAGCTTACCGCCGTGGGACTCGTCGGTGGCGAAGTCGCGGACCATCGAGGGCCAGGAGGGGAGCTTCTTCTGGGGCTCGCCGCTCGCCCCCGCCGCCGCCGACGCAACCATGAAGAGAGGGTGGAGAGGAGAGCAGAGAGGCGACGCGCGGGGGACGCCCTTCCCGAAGCTTCTAGAATATTCGGGAGCGGTTCCCGCCTCGAGATGAGGGAGAGGGCCTTCTGCGCTACTGGAGAAAGAGGCCCAGTAATTGGTTCCTATTTATAGCCGTCATCGGAAGCCACTTGGGCCGGTATACCGATCGAGAAAATATATAGGTACAAGTTCACTTGAGGTCCCTCATCTTAACGTCGACTCGTCGAGTTCAAATTATCCTTAAACTGCAATACTATACTGGAGTATATAACACGTCACTCAAACTTACAAAGCCGGTGTTCCGTAGCCAAAAACCATCTACGAGCTTTTAGTGCTATGTAGACGCCATATGGACGTAAAGTGAACTTTTTTGCTCCTAGAATTTAGATAAAGCACTGGGCCGACTTGTCCATGGCCGAAGTCGTTACAGGCCAATTTAAGCTCGGAAAAAGTACATAGTTCGTCCTCTTGTCATTGGTGACAAAATCATCCCACAACCGTAAAACTAGATACATGTCATCCCTCAGCTTATAAAACCAGATCACTTTAGGTTCTCAGACGGTTTTGACCCTAGTTTTGTTCAACGTGATGGTTGAGTTAGCGTGGGCCCCAAAAATAAGGGTGATCACGTTATCACCCTCTCTCTTTCCCCCCTTCTCTCCCTTCCTCCTCTCTCACTCATTCTCCTCCTCGTCTGGGCAAGGCAGCTAGCGGGTGGGGAGGAGGCCGGCGGGGTGAAGTGGGAGAGGACAAGGTCCAACGGCCGACAACAGGCAATGTGGGAGCAGGTCGGGGCGCCGGGGTTCGAGTCTGTCGAGTTCGAGGCAAAAACGGGCAGCGACCGGGGGAGAACTGAAGGCACGCGGCATGATCGGCAGCCGATGGGGGAGAAGAGCGGCGGTAGCATTCAGTGGCGAAGATGGGTGGCAGCCGGGGAGAATCAGAGGCGCGCGGCGCGACCAGCAGCTGAAGCGGAGAAGAGCGGCGACGACGCTCGGTAGCGAAGACGGACGACAGCTGGGGAGACTGGAGGCGCGCGGCGCAGCCGACAGGGAAGAGCGGCAGCGGAGCTTGTCCATGATCTTGCGCCTCCCCTCTCTTGTCTTCCTCCTCAAGGTGTTCACTTCCATCGATGCCACATCAAGGATGCTGCCCACCACCGACCTCGTGCGGGACGTCACCGCCCTAAGGAGCCACGACTCAGAGCGAGTTCAGGTCCTCCCCACGGGCATCGTCCACGGGTGGCGACCCACCGCCGCAGTGCTCGCCTTCACCCCCGCAGCAGGCCATGGTGGCTGTCCTCTCCCGCCGGCCGCCGTCTCCTAGCTCCACTCCTGCCACCCGCCGCCCTCCATAGCTGGTCGCTACGGCGGTGCCTCACGGCAGACGCCGACAGACCTCCTTTCCCGACTCGCCCCGCCAGCCCAGATTATGAGAAGAGTGAGAGAGAGGTGGAAGGGAGAGAATATGGGAAAGAGAAGGGGTGACAACGTGGTCACCCTTAAATGCGGGGCCATATGGGTCCGCGATAAATCAGCCACCACGTTGGACAAAACCGCCTGAGGACCCAAAATGATGGCATACATCTGATTTTGCGGTGGGGATGATTTTGTAATCTGATGATAAGATGAGGGACCTTGTATGTACTTTTTTTCCCTTTAAGCTCTACGTACTGCTGCCTAGTTCGGCCTATTTCCGTGGAGGGCTAGAGGCCCAACTGAGGCACATCCCGAATCGATCACATGTCGAACCAGAATTACCGAACTACTCGTGTAGAAATAAGTTCACTTTGAATCCCTCAAATATATGTCTAATCTAATATGTACCCCTCAATCGCAATACCATATATCTTGAACATCCAACTGTTAAAACCGGTACAAAATAACTTCCTCGGTGGTTTTGAGGGTGGCTTTCGCTGACGTGGCTCGTTGACCTAGTCTAAACACCGAGCCAGCATGTGGGACTCATCTGTCATCCTCTATCTTATTCCCTTCTCCCTCTTTTCTCTCTCTCTCTCTCTCTCTCCCTCTTATCTCGCTGAGTCTCTCCCCTTCCGCCTTCTTCTGCACAACGGCGATGGCGTCGGGAGGACGAGGGCAGCGGCGGTGATGGCGACAGGAAGACGAGGGGAGCGGCAGCGGCGGCGAGCTCCCACCAGGGTGCCTCGGAACCGGTGGCAGTGACTCGGCCTCGCGAAGGCTCGCGGATGTAGGCCCTAGCGAGAGCGATGGCCTCGTTGGCTATGGCGGCCCCTGTGTTGCTGCTTATCCTCCTTGCCTCGCAGTCACCGGGGTGATCTCCAATGGCTACGACCACTGCTACAAGGCCAATGAGCAATGGCAGAGCTGTTCTCCCCTTCTTGTTCGTGTTTGTGGAGCGCCAGCGGTGGCGGCGGCGGCAGTGGAGCTGAGTGGCTGAGGTGATGGAGCCAAGGGACCATTCATGCGGGGATGATGGTGAGGTGGATCCAGAGGGTGACATCAAGCTCCACTCCTCTCCTCCGGCTTCTCGTTCTTCCAGGACCTAGCACACGAGAACGACGAGGGTGACAAAGAGGTGCAGGGATGGCGGTGGAGGTTCCTCCTCACCGGCCGCTCCCAATTCAACACCACCTCCTAGGTGGCCCTCGTCGGTGTCGACGTGTGCCCCGTCGAGAGCCTCGACTGCGAGTACGACGTCACTCATTTTCCCTTCCCAATTCGAGGCACGCGATTCGCTACGGTCATGACCCAGGTGGCGGCAATGGCCTCCTCAAGCATCGTAGCCGTTCGGCCTCCTCGGTTGGAGATGGCTCTGTCTCGGTCCACGCCAACACCCAGGTCCTGTTCCGTCGAAACCGCCGACCGCCCTCCCCTGCTTGAGCTTGTTGGCATCGGCATCGTCGCGGCTACAAATAGAGCAAGAGGTGGAGAGAGAGACAGAGGGTGGGGGGAAAGGAGGAGCAACGAGGAAGGCCGAATGGGAAGGGGGGGGGGGGGGAGATGAGAGAGAGGGAAGAGGAGGAAGAAGGGAAGGAGAGAGAATGACATGTAGGCCCCACATATAAGTGGGTCATATAATAATTTGGTGTGAATGATAAATGGGTCCCACGTAAATTTTTTTAATTATAATACCACGTGAACCTCCAAAACCACCGAGGAAATCAAACTGTTCCGGTTTTAATAGTTGGGAAGGTTGAGATATCCAGTATTGTGGTTTAGGGATACGAATCAGTTTCGACCACTAGTTAAGAGAGTAAAAAAAGTGAACTTATTCCACTCGTGTAGATGAAGAAGGGCTATGCCATTTGGTAGCCCGGAGACTGGGGGGCTTGTTCACTTCGTTGCCGAAATCAACCATATTAAATTTTGGTAATGTCACATTTTAGCACATATTGGCATTTTCAAATTTTGATAGTGTTGGCTTTGATTTGATAGAGTTTTAAGAGAGGAAGCTTTTAGAAATATCAAAATTTAATAAGATAATAATGATTGAAGTGTGTTGAGTTTGTTGCGTTATTAAAATTTGGTAAGATTGCAAGCGGCGATAAACTGAACGGGTCCTGGAGTCCTTGACGGCAGTGTTGCCGCCTTGCCGGCGGCCAGTGAGCCGGTTCCACCGACAACACTCCAACTACCTTATAATATACAATGTCCAATCTCTATAGGAGCGAATTTCAGATTAGGTTATTTAAGGGCTAAGTTTTCTGTTTGATAGGCTATATTCTAAGTTAAAAAGATTGTATATATCATCTAGTTGGATGTAGAGGCTGGGTAAAAAATACCCTTCTCACAAAGAAAATTGATACACATTGTCTAGTGGCATTCCTGTTTGGGAAATAGAAAGGACTTCCGTCTTTTCCAGCTACAGGCAACCTTTTTCCTTAGGCCTTATTTGGTTGCTTGGGAAATGATCTCAAGGGGAACCTATCCAGGGAGGGACTGAGTGAATCCCTCCCATATCACTCAATCCCTGCGGGGTTCGAATCCCTGCCCGTTTCTAATCCCTGTCATAGAAACCCTGCTTTCGTTTAGCACGGGGAAAAATAAGGCAGCAGCTGTACGTTCCCAAGTAAGCAATGAACCAATATGCATTCTCCCAGATCAAATCCATAGGACACAGTAAAAAAAAACATTGTTTAGCACAGGGAAAACACACATGTATGCTGTACGTTCACAAATGCATACATGAAAGGGTCACAAAGTAATCAAAATGGTTACAATTCAGTTGTTTTTTTAGAATAAATAGAACTAGCCAGCTAAGAGCTAAACTACAAATTGAATGCAAGTGTTTAAGCTTAGCACTAATGCCACCATGAGCTTCAGTCACCCAGCTGCAGTGTTCCCATCTCTGGAAAAAAAAAGGGAACAACATTGGATCAATTCCAAAAAGAAATACACCATATATGTTCTTTCTTGTCAACCAAATATCAAATTGAATTAATGCAGAGTACAGATTACAGAAGAGCAGACAAGTAAAGAAAAGAGCCACACTTGATATCCAAACTAAGGCTGATGCACTACATGGAATGCTAACAGTCTGATAGAACAAAAGATGAAAAGAGACTTGAAAGTTCATGAACTAGGAAGCTAACAAAAATACAGTTAATTGGCTTTTGTTTTTCTGGAACAAGCACTACTTTGTAAGTACAGCTATACAAGTGTGCTCCAGTTTCACAACAAGAAATGGAGATAAAAGAAGAGAAAGCAGCTTGTTCATTTCTTCAGTTAGACCAAAATTTACAGTGAGGACTGACTGCATTTGCTGTCTGAATCTGGCGACAACATGATACACTACGGTGAAAACGATGCTCTTAATAGGAAAGCCCTGCAAGTTTCATCTTCTATTTAAGTTTCACATATGTAAGGTTCACCACTAAAGTATCATCATGGTTCCTTGTATCAACTAAACACCGTGACATTCTGAAGTTTGAGCAAGAGCTAGCTATAGATAAACACAGAGGATCCTAATCCAGTACAAATCTGATTGATTAATCAAATATATATCACAATAAACTAATGACTAATAAAAAACAACTCTTATTAGCACTTCAGTGCTCCTGCTGATCGGCCCCTAGACAGATATATGTATGCTAGTTTCACTTTGA